CATTTTCTTTGTTTTTGTTGCTTTCAATGGCCACTCTACCAATAAATTTATTTGAGTGAATAAACTATGTGCACACAGATAATCCTAACAAGTCAGTCTTGCTGCAATATTATTACTTCTGGTTGTGCTATAAGCATAGTCGCAAGGTTACTGCCTATTGAAAAACCAAACTGAGTTTTAAAATACTATTGAGTTATCAGACAGTCCACTTTTTCAACTTCTAGTATTCAGTATATTCTCTTTCTTGAATTTTTCTACACATGGATAGTATCAAGATTAAAGTTCCTTTTTATTATAAACTTTTTTTTAAGGCCTTGAAATTGAAAAATTTTCAACACATTGTCTCCAGGTAACAAACTTGTAGATTTGAGAGTAATGAGGAGATAAGCAGAGAATAAGGAACAGAACTTAGTATATTCTTAATGATTGCTAGTTCTTTGGCTTGGTCTGTATTTCAATAGCTCTCTCCCTCTTCTTTGGTCTTTCAATTGGAAGGAAAAGAATACCACCACCAACTCTTTCTCATACTACCAAGTCGAGAACTGAACTAGTATTAAACAAAAAGCATACCTGGCTCTGACACCTCTGTTTTCGGGGTAGTTATTTTGTCCTCTCTTGAAATGCTCATTTCTGTCATTTGCTGAGTTACAGGCAAGGCAGCCACAGGCACATTTCTATTTGAGTTCAAGCAAACAATTATTTTTAAAGATGTTATGAGTACTCCTTTTTGTCAGTTCAACTTTAAATTGTGTGTTATTTCCAACATAATCAAATGGAACTAGATATCTTCAAGGTTTTGGAAAAAAAATAGATTCTCTTCATAACTAGTTTAGAATAAAGTAATTTGATAAATACTTATCTACTTATGGCTGCATATTTGTATAGAACATCATCTTCTCTTATAACCAGTAATAAATTTTAGCTGTGCCTATAACTTAAGGACAAAGAAGCAGCTGTGCAAACATCTTGTGTGGAACTCTATGTCTGCAGTCTCCCTCTCTACAGTCCCTAAAGCTCAATTACAAGGAAATAAAAATACATTAATTCACTCCAGGAAAAGGAAACAAGTTTCTTTCACTGTTTAAAAACAAAGAAACACCAAACACACAAAATTTCCAACTGTATTCTTGAGGAAGGTATGAAATGTATTCTGACATACAGCTTTTTATTCAATGACCCAGAAGTGAGATATTAAAGAACAATGGAACCCTTGATTGCGTAATACAAAGCCAAGGGCACCTGATACCTCCATTACTATACAGAAAACTGACATCCTGATTTCCTCTTCCTATAACCACCCCATAATCTTTCATCTTACCTTGATTTTTCAGATGTGCTGCCAGCAGCACCTTCACAGTTGTTTAAGCTAGCATCTGCTCTTTGTACAGATGCAGAATCTGAGGTAGGACTGTTGGAACCACTAGCTGTTCCTATTTAAGAAAAACAAAAGATCTATAAATAACAAATCAACACTAAAAAGCTTGCTTAGTATTGATTTAATAAATAATAATACCTGCATTAATTGGTTAGTGATTTAAGCACTTTCACTGCATTGCAATCCTACACTTAAAAGTTGAGTATCCAAACAAAAAATTTAAAAGTTACATCCAATAAACATGTAACACCTCAAAAATACAACTGAAAAAGCTAGAAGATACTTGTAGATACTCCTTCCTGAGGCAGTCATGTCAAGTACTTGCATTGTTCCTTTAAATTTAAGTTCTTGTAAGGTCTTCTCTCCTTGGGCTTTCAGAATTCTGTCTTGGACCCTCATTCTTGGTTTTATATTTTGTCTCCAAAGCTCTTCAACTGTGTTTTCCTTGGAAACAACTTACCCATTGGGCTCATTCTGCCACTATTCTGCTGTCTCTGAAGATGTTCTTTGTAGCAAACAGAACACATTCCATTTGTCCTAGGATTCCCATAAAAGCCACATCCTGTACTACACAGCATGGGTCCTGGGGTCTGATTAGTCTCCTGAGCCATGTTTTCTTCTATGAACAAAACAAAGCAAAATTTTAGACATTAGTAGAAGAAATTAGTAAGTCACCAAAATAATCACCACTGTACCTTTGTATTTCTAAATACTGTCATTAACAAAGCCCAAATGTTATTTATCATAAAAAGATGGAACTGGGCCTGAGAAGGTGGCTCAGTGGTAGAGTGATTGCCTTGCATGCATAAGGACCGGGGTTTGATTCCTCAGCACCACATAAGCAGAAAAAGCCGAAAGTGCCGCTGTGGCTCAAGTGATAGAGTGCTAACCTTGAGCTAAAGAACTGAGGGACAGTTCAGGCCCCAGGACCGACAAAAAAAAAAAAAAAGAAAGAAAAGAAAAGATGTAACTCAATTTGTTACCTTTATAAAACAAAGAAGGTTTAACCAATGAAATTGAAAACCATAAAGAAATTCTACCTTGAATTACTAAAATGATAATTTTACGTGTTACTCATCTTAGCTTCAGTGTTTAAAAATCTCATAAATTTTAATCAAATTTGGAAATTGGACATATTTGGGCCATATCAGTAACTTAATTTTTAAGGGAGGCACATTTGTAATCTGTATTCATTTAAAGGCACAACTGTGTGTACAGCATCTATTACCAGTCACAAATTTCTCAACCAGATTATCAATTATATTTGTCTTCTTCCCACTAAAAGACACCTTTCCAAGCTTGAATATGATGTATTAAGCAATATGAAAACATAATCTTTAGTAATGGTTAATATTTAATGCTGGATTACCAGATGAAACTTTATGCAAGCACACCTTTGCTTTTACAGAAATCCTGTTAAAATGAGTATAAAAATAGTATGAAGTTAAATATACTGTCTTCCTCTGGTTAAGAGAAAATACGCATTAAGAAAAATCACTTTTGAAAGCTATGTAAGTATTTGAGAGCTTTTAAAGAGAAAGTATGTGCTAACTTGTGTTCACTCAGTTTTGCAACTATCATACTAGAATATACCCTCTATTGAACTTTAAAAGTGTTTTTATATTAACTCTACCCAAAATTTTACAGAAAGAGGGAAGGTATAACCAATTTGACATTATCAGAATGCTAGTTAACTTTTGCTCCCCTAAACATTGAAATGATAGCACTCTTTCTTTCCTTTTGTAAGCAAAAGGTATCTCGAAATCCAAGCTTGGATGGATAAAGTCCAAACTCTACAACTTACTTTGAACAATACTAATTTAGTTGACACTGTCTCTTTAAATAGTAAGTGGAATTTAGCTGACTCATTTTGAGCCGGGTAAACATTTCAACATCAACTCAGTTGAGGTTTTTAAATATTGAACAGGAGTAAAAAAATGATTCAAGCAGGAAATTATGTACTTTTTTTATCCCCATGGTGAACAAAAAGGTGGGCCATTATCAATTATGCTAGTTCACTTTCTATACGGTGAGTTGGCTAAGACTTTATAAGATGACATATCAAAGCATGTAATTTTAATTAGTTGGAATAAATTCTTAGAAATAAAACGGAGGAGACCTAACTACCTTCAATTCATTGTAATTTAACCTTGAAAACAGAGACGCAGATATCAGAATATTCTATACAGCTTCCCATCTTTTAGATTTTTTTCCCTCTAGAAAGTCAGCTTTTAAATGCCATCACATGCACAGCTTGCCTTAATATTCCTCAGAAGCTGAGATCACATGGGAGGGCGCTTCAGCCTGTCACAAGGCTGCAATGTGACAGGCTGAGCTGGATGGAGGTTCGCTCACATAAAGCCTAGTCAACAGGGGCCTCTGAAATCAGCTTCTATTTATATCTCAGAGCTTGCCAACTCCTACACAACCCCAAGAACTAAAGATGCCGCATCCATATATCTAACATAAAAAAAAAAAAAAAAGCAAGTAAGACTGCCCATTTTTTTAAGAGTAGGACTAAAGAACAATCTCAAGTAAGCACCATTTATCACCAAAGAAGCCAAAATGGTCAAGACTGTTTATGTTAAAACAAAACTAAGCCAAGTGGAGAGCATGGAGGCACAAAGAACCCTTACAATTTAGTGGCAATTACTAGGGAAGGGAAAGAGGGGTTATGTCCTCCCATCAAGTACTGAACTCACTTGTTTAGAAAAATTCAAGTTTCAAGAAACATGTGCCTCTACTAGGTAGGCACAGATGGAGCACTTCACGTGTGGATAGATGGCAGCTCTCTAACTCAAGACTTTGCAAAAATACTCGTGTGTAAGAAAAAAAAAACATTACCAACCCCAAATCTATAGCTTTACATCTATGGAAGTTATTTAAGGTGCATAAGATGTTTTAAGACGGCAAGGAAACCCACTCACCTGGGGGAGGCCCGAGTTCTAGAATTCTAGGATCTGTCACTTAAAAGTCAGTGACCTTGGGCAAGTCTTTAATTCTCTAGATCTCACTCAAGTTCCTTCTGCCAGAGACAGATTTTTTTTTTTTTAAAAATGCCTCTTTCCAGGCTATCGGGCCTAAAAAACAAAAAAAAAAAAATAGAGAACTAAAACAAATTCGTCGGGGAGGGGAGGGGTGAAAGAGAATACTGCCGTACTTCCACCGTGGAGGACGAGTAAGCCCTGTAAAAATTATCTTTAAAAGGTATCTCAAAATTACCTTAAAAAATTATCTTAAAAGTGAGCTTCTAGAATCTCTTTCGGTGACTGGAGACGAATTGGGACCCGGCTCCCGTGACCTACATATCCCACTTCACCTTAAAACATGACCTCAGGCAATCATTCTTTCGGGAGGGATTTAGTCCATTACCGGCTCCTTTTTATAATAATAAAAAAAAAAAAACATCGACGGAGGAGAACACGTCCACATAATAATAATAATTAATAACCATGATCACAGCCAGCCCCGAAGCGCGTCGGCGCGCGGGCCGGACACAAAGGTGGTGCCCGGTGCGCGCACGCGGGGCTCCGCTCCGAGCGCTCGGCGGGCCTGGGCTCGGCGGGCCGGCCGATCGCAACGAGGGCCGGCTCCCGGTCCCGTCCGGCCCGCCCCGGCCGAGGCCTCACGCCGGGAAGCCCGACGGGGCCTTCCCCCAAAACCACTGAGTCACGGCCGCCGGCGGCTCCGGCCGGGCCGGGGAGGCCGGGGCGGCGAGCGCGGCCCCGCGGGGGAGCGGAGCGGGGCGGGGGGGAGCGGGGGGGGGCGCAGCCGCCACCTCCGCCGCCGCCTTTGTTTTCTCCGAGCCCGGCTGCCCACGCCGAGCGCCATCGTCTCGGGGCGGGGGGAGACGGACGCGAGCCCCCGGAGCCCGGCCCCGCCGAGGCTGCGCGCCGGGCATTGTTCCCCGGCCGTGCGGGCCCGGGGCGGGGGGGGGGGGGGCCGCGGCCCGCGAGCGGGAGGACGCCTCCGGACACAAAGACGGAGGCCGGGCTCCCTCCCTCCCTCCCTTCTCCTCCGACGCCGCCATTCGCGGCCCCGTGCGGGGAGGCCCGAGGCCCTCACGCCCGGCCCCAGCCCCGCACCACTCACCCTGCGCGAAATGCCCGGATGCAGACGCCGAGCTGGCGCGCGCGCCGGACGTCGGGGCGGTGGGGCCGGGCCTGAGGCCTCCAGGAAGGCAGGAGCCGGGCGCCCCGGGGCCGCGGCCGCTGCAGGCCGCACGGAGCTGCTGCCGCCGCCGCCGCCGCCGCCGCCGCGGGGTCCTCCTTTGTTCCAGCAGCGGCGCCGAGCGCGGCCGGGACACGCCGGGGCTGGGGAAGGGGCGGAGGGACGCGGGGCGGGGAGGAGGGCGGGGAGCCCAGGAGGCGGCGGCGGAGGAGGCCGGACCCGGGGCCGCGGCGGCTAACGCTCTCGCAGGCGTTCGCCGGCCGTCGCTTGGCGTCTCCGCCGGCGGCGGGACGGGCCGAGGAAGCGGGCCGGAGAGCGGGCGCGGCGCCGCGGGGCCCGGGCGTCGAGGAAGCCGGCCGAAGGCGTCGTCCGTGGGCTCCGGCCACCACCGGGGCGGGGGCGGGGGGAAAGCAGCGCGGCTCCCGGCAGCGAGCGAACCCCTCGCGAGGTGCACCCCTCTCCGCGGATCCGGCCGACTGACGCGGGCCCGCCCTCCCGCTCCCGTGCCCAGGGCGGAGGGGGCGGGGCCGGGGCGGGGCCTGCGCGTCAGCGAAAATCCCGGCGGCGGCCGGCGCGGTGACGTCACGCCGCCAGACACGCCCCTCCGCCCTTCAGTCACGGGCTGGTGGGCGGGGCCGGGCCGAGGGGCGGGGCCAGGCGAGGCCGAGCGGGGCGGGGCCGGGGCGAGGGGCGGGGCCGAGCGGGGCGGGGCCGAGCGGGGCGGCCCCGCGGTCCGGCCGGGCCGAGGCCCTGGCGGCGCGCCCGGCCCCGGGGTGGAGGCAGTGTCTATTTTTACCCGGATGGTCCGCCCGCCACCTTCGCTCCCCGCGTCCCTCCCGCTCTCTCCCCGCTCTGCCCCCTCCCCCCCGAGTTCTCACGCTTCGCCTCCGGCCCTCCCGCCTCGCCCCCGCCCGGAAGGAGCGCGGCCCATCCCTCCGGTGTTTACCAGGCCTCCGGCCCGCCGCGGGGCCAGGTCCAGCGGGGCCCGGCCCGGCCGCGCGGGGCGGGACGGGGCGGCCAAGGTCACGGCGGCCGGGGCCGAGGCCGGAGCCCCGCGCCCGCCCGCCCGCCCGCCCCGCGCCCCGACCCCCGACGGCCCCCGACGGGCTCCGCCTCCATCCCGAACCCCCGCGGCTTCGGGATCGCGGAGGCGCGGGCACGCGGTGGAGGCCCCTTCCGGTTTCCCGAAGTGGCTGACAACAACAACAACAGCAGTAATCATAATAGGTCATCTGGGGTGATAGACTCAGGCCCCCGCCTTCCCAGGGCATGGTGTGCGTGACTCAGGAACGCGTGTTTTAAGTCGGACTTCCGCTGATTTCCCGTGTTGTGAGTTTCAGGGGACCCCGTCGGGGCTGTGGGCCAGCAGCTCTCCGCTGATTTCCCGTGGTGGTGTGAGTTTCAGGGGACCCCGTCGGGGCTGTGGGCCAGCAGCTCTCCGCTGAGTTCCGTGTTGTGAGTTTCAGGGGACCCCGTCGGGGCTGTGGGCCAGCAGCTCTCCGCTGAGTTCCGTGTTGTGAGTTTCAGGGGACCCCGTCGGGGCTGTGGGCCAGCAGCTCTCCGCTGATTTCCCGTGGTGATGTGAGTTTCAGGGGACCCCTTCGGGGCTGTGGCCCAGCAGCTCTCCACCGCTGCCCAGTCCAGTACCTGAAACTGAGCGGAACCTGTTTAAAACAGTGGCTTCAAGGCTGTGGCAATACCCAGCTAGTTATTACAGATTTGAGTAGATTTGGGTCACTGATCCGCAGACCACGGCATCTGTTCGTAAATGTTAATAAAAACAGCAGCCATCATGTTTTTAGTCGGTCGTGGGGCCTGAGCTCTGGGCCTGGGTGCTGTCCCTCAGCTCTTCAGCTCGAGGCGAGTGCTCTACCACTTGAGCCACAGCCCCACTTCTGGTTTTCTGGTGGTTTATTGGAAGTAGGAGTCTCATGGGCTTTCCTGCCCGGGCTGGCTTTGAACCTTGATCCTCAGATCTCAGCCTCCTGAGTAGCTAGGATTACAGGCGTGAGCCACCCATGCCCCGGCTGTGTAGACCATTTTCAATACCAAGTATTTTCCCTGTAGGGTCTTGTGAATGCATCACAGTAATTTATTTACTGTGATAGGTGGTGTTTTCCTTTCCATTTGTAGAGATCTGGGGATAAGGAGTAAAGATTGATAGCCCAGCCCAGCGCTGGAGGCCTAAGCCTGTAATCCTAGCAATTCAAGAGGCTGAGATCTGAGGCTCAGGGTTCAAAGCCACCCCGGGCAGGAAAGCCCCATGAGACTCTTATCTCCAATAAAACACCAGAAAACCAGAAGTGGAACTGTGGCTCAAGTGATAGAGCGCTGGCCTCGAGCTGAAGAGCACGCCCAGGCCCAGATTGATAGCTCGGAAAGGGCAAACCAGGCTTTGGAGGTTGTTCTTACTGAGAAGAAAAATAAATGTAGAGTTCCCCATCCTACAGAATTTTAGTTTTAATAAATGACATGAAATAATTCCTGAAGAAGTGTAATAAAGGTAATAAAGCTAAATCTTTAGGCAATGTACACCCTACATATTATGTAGTACTGCTGATAGTTCATGTTCTCCACTGATCGTTTATACTGTTCTCTGTAACATTATTTTCACCAAGAATGTGGCTAAAATTAAGCATCAATGGGATTAAGATTCCCTTCCAGCAGCTATTTCCTACTAGTTTTCAGAGTGTGGTACCCAGACAAGCCCATCAGCATCAACTGCGAACTGGGTAGAAATAACAAATTCCCATCAAACCTTTGGAATCCCCGCCTCAGGATTGACACAACCATCCGTATTTTATTTAACCCATCCTCCAAGTAATTACTCTACCATACATGCCATCAGGCGATCTCTCTTCAAGATGGCTCATGCCATGTGAAAGGTAAAAGCTAAAAAGCCTTTATGTTGCTGGTGTAACAGATTAAGGGAATTACTTGTTTTGCTTTAGTTTTTGTTTTCTGGGATTCTAAATTTTAATTCTAATAACAACCTGCTTTATAAAACGCCAAATATGGACAGGGGCATAGCTTAATAGTAGGGTACTTAGTGAGAGTTCCTGGGTTCAATCCCCAGCACCTCAAAAACAACCCTTCCCCTCCTATATACAAAATATGCCAAAAATGTGATATCATCCATTAATGGTTCAAAAATACCTTCCATAGAATTTCATTTTGTAAGCCATACCAAATGACTGGCCCTATTCCATTTCCTAAGTGTTCCCTGCAAATAGTGCTAACTCTTAATACTTTCGACTCATTCTAACCACCAGCTGAACTAGAGGCTGGAATATATATTGATGGGAAAATAGATATTACCCTGTTTTTGTGTGCGTACGAGGGGATAGAGATTATCTCACACATATCTAACTATGAACTGACAAATACTTTGAAAGTACTGCTTCCTGTAGGAGTGCATAGTATGGAACCTAAAACCCCTTCCTCCTCCCATCTCTGTCCTCAACAGAGCCTGGCTTATTTTCTAACATATAAATTCTGCATAGAGTTCTGTATAGGAAAGGAGAATGTCATATGAGAAAAGTACAATAGTCTATATTCTTCTTAAGAACTCTAGTGAAGTCACTGTAGGTTAACTTACCTCTCTGTGAAGTAGGGGAAGGATTGGAAAGGAGATTGATGATTTGAGAAGAGCAGATATAATTGAATTTTTTGGAGACTGGAAACTGACATCCCTTAAACATAGCAATGTAAGTTATTTGCCCACTGTAGAATATAAAAGACCCATGGTTATTTTATCAGGGTTATTATAGAAAAAACAATTACTTCAGTGAAATTACCATATCTTGTCATGGTGAACTATTCATTTTTCTTTTTGTACATAGTGACTTTCTTCCTTTTGTTTTCCAAACTCTTCTGAAATTTCAAAGATCAAGGTAAGACATTCCATTTTTAAAAATTATTTCTGAAAGAGTGAAAAGGATTACAGCATTATGTTTAGAGCAAATCAGGAGTATAACATGGTGACTTAATTAAAATGTATTTTCTTTAATAGATAATGATTAAATGATAGGCAAAGTATCAATAAATTCAGTAATGGGTTGTATTTGCAGTTTGACAAGGGCTTGGCTGATTTATTTTCCTCCTCAACAAAGTAATGAAGCAAGAGGCAGTTATTATATGGAACTTTTGATCACTTAAATGCCATGCTTATTTTCACAGAAAACAACTTGATTGAAGAATCTTCACATAAATATCATGAAGATCTTACCAGATTTGAGAAGACTTTCTGACACAATTTGGAAAGCAGCAACATAGCTAGAAGTACTTTTGAGATTATTTTAGAAAGCAGAAGTCATGGACTATGGGTGTGAATCAAATGGAAAGCATACTTGCCTATCAGCCATAAGGGCAAGAGGGGCTGGGAAGGTGGCTCAGTGGCAGAGTGCTTGCCTTGCATGCATGAGGCCCTAGATTCGATTCCTCAGCACCACATAAGCAGAGAAAGCCAGAAGTGGCGCTGTGGCTCAAGTGGTAGAGCACTAGCCTTGAGCTTAATAGCTGAGGGACAGCGTCCAGGCCCAGAGTTCAGGCCCCACGACCCACCAAAAAACAAACATGAGGGCAAGAAAAAAAGTATTACTTATGCAAAACAAAAACTTAAAGGAAAATGATGACTTAAACTATATATACATATACATAGATATATAATTTGCTGTGAATATCATCTTTTAAGAAACAAGGTACTTTTTGTCTCCAAACTCTACATTTTTGTGATTGAATAAACCAAGTGTGGGATGTTAGGTACCTAGTACTTAGCCCTGGAGTTGCCTAAGCACCATCACTTTGGAATGTATTATATAACCTGAGCTCTTGAGCGATGGAACAGGACAGTAGGGTAGTCAAGAACCAAACTGGTGACTCCGCTTGTGCCCATCAATGGGATGGTACAGAGCTCGGACAGTGCATGGTCGGCTTTATTGGTCTAGCTATTGGGCAGCAGAAAAGCATCACACAAAGTCAGCAGATACTATCAGAAGGACAGAATTAAGGCTGAAGACTGGCAAGAGAAAGGGATCGAGCAGACTCCTGTTTAGGAGGAATACATATTCTAGGAAGAGGGTGAAGTTTAGGTAATGTCTTTTCCAACGTGAGTTCAAATTCTTGAACCATAAATTTCTCACAACAGCCCACTGAGATAAATGATAGCATGTCTTCCTTTTGCAGAAGAGTTAATGACTAAGCCCAGGTCTAAAAATACTAATTGGTTTACTGTTCTGCAAACCCAGCCCATCATTTTCTGTGTAAATCACAAACAATAAACAGGATCTACTCAGTGGTTATTTCTAAAAATAAATAAATAAATAAAAAGACTTGATGACAGGCTGATGGTGAGCTGCATGTTCTGGCATTATCGTATGTCTAGTAGGAGAAGAGTCTTCTGTTCCTTGGTTCAGCATTCTGATGTCTTTCCAGGACTACTTTGTTCATTTAGTGCACAACTAAACTGTACTTCTCTTTCACCTTTATCTTGTTTATTTGTTACATGCAGCCCTATGATGCATCCTTAACAGAAACTCCCTAATGGGTAACTCCTTTCTGAATCTCTTTTGCTGATTTCTAGGTCCTCCTCTAACTGTTCATTGTTGCCATTTCTTAAAACAAGATCTCCAGCACTGTTTCTCTGTTGCACACACAAATGGCTATAGCCATTTGAACTCAGCTTCTCCCTAGGCTGTATGATGATGGGTGATGAGTTTCCCCCTAAGTTGTGCAAGTGTGTGCATGCCTGTGTGTGTACATGTGTTTGTATGCGTTTAGAAGAAAATAACAATTTCACTGATGGAAAACAAAATGCCAGTGGTTTAAAGTTCAAGTAAAGGAATTAAGTACTAATAGACATACCACGAAGCATAGTGAACAAATTGAAATAGTAGAAATAGTTTGGATAATCACAAAAATCAGTGCTTTTGAAACTATGAGAAATGACTCAGAAATGACAGGTTAATCCTCTAAGGAAATATTTAAATGCTATCTGAACTTAATCCTTGGCTTATGAATGCTTGATTTATGAATTTATTCACAAGGATATGTCTGTTTTGAAATTTTACTTACAAACATCTTAATTTATTACTTATTTATACTGAAGTTATACTCTGGTATTGGAAGATAAAATTCATAGCAAGCCACCACCTAGGAGGACCTAGAAATAAAGATCAGTTTATCTTTATTATTTGTGGATCAGTGGCTGTAGGGTAGCCAAGA